GACAAGGGAACTGGTTGCAGAGTGTCAGTGCAGGGGAGATGAGGTAACAAAGGAATTGCAGGGATAGTTTGAACGTAATGGGTCAAGTAGGGGCAGAATAGGAAATAAAAGAAATTTACAGTATAAAGAAGAAATGTTGCCCATAGGCCTATAGAGTTTTTGATGGTAAAGGGAGGAAAATGTAGTAACTGCAAGGAAAAGGGTATTTAAAGATGGCAGGACTATTTTTTTTTCAGCATGAGCAAACATTGCTCAAAGAGGAATTACCTCCTACAGCAGTACAGTGAAGTAGGTTTTGAATTCAAAATGGAATGATGGGGTCTGCAGAGGGGATGATGGAAATCTATTGAGTTAAGTTCATGGGTATAAATGGAGATTCAGATGAGTTCTTCATGTCATCACTGGCTTTCATAGCACTTATTGATCTTCAGTAATTAATTCCCTTCTAAAGTTGCTTATCTTGTACTGCCAACTTCTGGGTACATCGCAAAAGCCCTGGCTTACTGAATAGTGGCAACAGCATCCATTTGGACTGAATTATTTCCTACTTCCACGAAGACTCCACTGCACCCCAATAGTAATTGTCACCATATAATGATAGAAAAAAATATTTTTCAAAGTCTTAAAATAAGAGCCTTTAAATCTTTTTTCTCTCTTGCCTTTTGTTTTTGTTTTTTCTCTCTCTCTCTCTCCCTCCCTCCCTCCCTGTCTCTCACTAACACACAATCACGCTCAGATGCCACAATCTATGACTCAGAGGCCACATGCCACAGCATTAAATAGAGATCTTAATAAGTGGTGTTGTGTATTGTATGTATGTATGTATGTATGTATATATGTATGTATGTATGTATGGCATTCAGCTTTTACAAAGCTGAATGCCATACATGTAAGTACCCGTGAAAACTTAATATATATGTGTGTGTGTGTGTGTGTGTGTGTGTGTGTGTGTGTGTGTGTACACACACACACACACACACACACACACCCTTTTTATAGGGAGAATTGGCCTAATGTTTTCGATCATTAACTTCTTATTCTGCTAATTGTGTAAAAATTTTAAAGTTATTTTTAATGGCATCATCTCATGAAATGCTAAGTGGTCAGTTCAGTATCTGTATATTATATACAGAGATGAGGCAAAATACTCTGTCTATTTAAATATCATATTCTAGTGTGCATACAATTTGAAGTCTGGATTTTAGTATCCGTAATTCAGCCTGATTTTAATGTTTCAAAAAAAAACTATAGTGTTTAAGATTTGTTATTTGTCTTCATGAACGTTGCCTTCATATAAATAATCTCTGCAGACATAATCTAAAACAGAATCTTGCAAATATCAAATGTATTTAATCTTATTGAAGAATAGTTATCTTAGACATAGAAAACTTATTTCTAATACAGTATTCATTGCTAATGTTGTTTTGTAATTGGCAAATGTTTTTTTTAAATGCCTTCTACTGTATATTTACAAAATACATGTTACATTAAGTATAATGTAATTATCCCCATCTTCATCTATGGAATATGGCTTCTAAGGATAAACTTTCTATAGTTTCCCAGCATTTATCCTGGAAATTATTTAGGGCAAGATTATTATTGGCTATGTTACCATTTTTTCTTTCCAACCTTTTAAGCGGAGTGGCTCTTCCAGAATTTCCTAATTACACAAGTAACTTTTTCCCAGTAGCATCATTTGGCACCTTAGAATTAATCCCCAATCTTTTAGGCAATTCTGAAATAAATATCTGTGGAGCGCTGCAGAAGTATCAAGACTGACAACTTGAGGCAACACAGATCTAATTCCTTGATTCACAGCAGTCCTTTTATTAAGAATTTGGGTAGTGAAAAAACTTTAGGCTCACTGGTTCTTTTATGTATGCCATAGGGAATTGTAGTAGGAGACATTAATTATTTTCTTTAGAGGGCAGTTTAATCCAGGCATCAAAATGAAATGAGTAAACTTTTCAACACCTCAGTGCTGTTAGTGAACAGGCTTTTTAGCATTACTTTATGTTACTTAACCAGTCTTACCAACATGTTCATATGCGGAGGACAATTTGTAAAAAAAAAGTTACTGGTAGAAATGCATTGCCACACATCTCTGGTTATTTCCCAGTAATGTTTCAAAATCACAGTTTCTAAATAGCTATTTGTAATTCATCTGTCTGCAACGTGACCACAATGCAGAAGACAGTCAGTTACTGGTTGCAATTACAGCTGTAGAAGCATACTTTTTCCAGTTTTCCAGCTGTAGAACCATACTGAGGACAAGGGAGTCTACTTAGAATATGTAACACTGTATTATTCTATACTTTCAGATTCAAATACACATTGATGTGGCAGCTAAATAGTGAGGTTTGGACTCTGCTACCAGATGCTTATTGCCATACCTTAAGAGTCGCCATGGGCGAATAGGCGGCAATATAAATAAAATAAAATAAATATCTTATACATGCATTCAGAAGTGCATCCCCCTCTACAGAGATGCTGCTAGGCAATTTTCAAGGATCGAAGGGGATTGTCGATTGCAGAGGCCGAATGATTCCTGTATGATGAATCAGTTAATTGTAAAAGTTAATACAACATTTCTCAGAAGGCTGAGATGATAATGTTAGTAAATCATGAGAGCTTGTGTAGAGTTGGAGAATAATTGCCTATTGTCAAAACAAGTGGAAAGACAAGGAATTCATGAGCCTTTTTGAGAAGAAATGCTGATTCCACCCCCCTCCCAAAGTATGCAATTGACTTTGGAATTGGAGAGAGAGATGAAGTGCTGAAAAAGGCATTTTTGTCAGAAATGTAAATAATTGTATGGCAATGGCTTTCTAGCTTGTGTAATTCTTCCTTTTTTTCCCCAATTCCTGCTTCCAAAAGAAGTTGAAAGAAGATAGATATGAGAGGGGGGGGACAGACAGACAGGATCACAAATGTTAATTAAGCATCAGTAACCTTTTAAAATTTTAATGGTGCCATACTTGTCACTTCTGAGAGTTTTCAGTGAGCTCTCAGCTTGAAACTATACATCATGGTCATTGAAATCTTGTTGGGAAATATAAGTAGTCTGAAATAGATTTTATTGATCTTAACAGTTGTTTGTGATAGGCCTAAATCCAACAGATAGTTCCATTTAAAATGTTTTGTTCATATTATTGAATTACTAATATCTTATCATTGAAAGCCACTTTGTATAATGTTTGGGTGAATGTGCATCACATTTTTTAAAGTCACACAATAAAAAATAATGAAAGCTTTGCCTCTGAAGTACAGCTGAGCTAGCTGAACTGGCGGATCTAACATTAATTTTTTATTAGATATTTTTATATGTCATTCTGCCTCCCCCTAGAGGGGTGTTTTATATTCTTCTCCATTGTGGATATTTTTTATCTTTCAGAAATTTTTCATAAAATAATTTTGTGTGAATGATACATACCAGAATCTATCCAGAGAGTATCTGTTGAACACTTGAATTTCTCTGTTGAATTGTTGGCAGGAGCTTAAAAAAATGTACTTTATTCATTAAACTACTTCAGATTTTCTGGTTCTTTTGCTGCTGTAGTTATTAAAAAAATAACTCTTAGAACCTTATTGAGCAATGGATGTGTGCATACTTCAATAGACCAAAAAGATAACTTTGTACCTAACAAAAGTTCCAAATTTGATGCAGAAACTTATTTTTGTACAGATATGAGATTATCTTTTTAATATTGTATCTTATTAATTACAGACATACATAATATATTTGTATTGGAACATACTCTTTTTGATGTTGCTGTTCCTGCATTTATAAAATGCTGGCAATATTTTTTAATATTTGTGACTTGCATTAATTCTTTGATTTTTTTTTAATATCTAAAAATATACTTCCATGTAAATATTTCTAAAGGATTTTCCTTGGATAATTTCTTTCCCAAACTTTATAAAAAGGAAGAAAGGGCATTATTATAGGAACATGGAAGCTGCCTTAAAGTAGGGCACAGTATTTATCCTTCTCACATAGTCTTTTAAAGTAGAAAAGGGTCTTTTTTTTCATTGTGTGTAACTTCGTGTTATTGGAAATGCCGATCATTAAACCTACAGTCTAAATCAAGCACCTACCATCTCTTCTCTGTAAAATGCCTAGGTGTTAAATCTGAGGGCTCTCAGTAGCTACCCCCAATTTTTGCCATCTTCAGCAGCTGCCTAAATTCTTGAGAACTCCTACAATTTGGAAATCCCCTTGTAGGGGTGACAAGCTTTTGCTTTCTTGCTTTCAACATTAAGGCATTATGGAGCAATATATGGTTTTGTGGTTTGGGAGTATTTTTCTGGGATAAAACCTGATCCTGAGCAAAAGGCTAGAAGGTGCAATTACAGTATTTTCTGATTTAAAACATAGAGCTTTGGCAACTGTCGCTCTCTTTCAGAATTGTTCTAAAAACAGATCATCATCTTGAAAGCACTGCTTGAAGGAACGAGAATTCCTTGGGAGTAGTTTTAAGTGAAGTTGTTGATAAGAATGTGGTATAAGTTTTCCATATTATTTCAGCCAGTTCAAGTTTCTTAGTATGCAAAGTATGCAACCACAACTTTGGTTGTATTTCAACTAGAATATCACAGTGTTCCAAAAAATAATTTTCTAATGTTCAAGTGATCTTTGCAGGAAGCACACTGAAGTATATATACTGTACATTAGTATAATAGAAAGGAGTAGATAATAGCATCTTCATAATTAGGTATAGAATGTTTTCTGATTTTTTGTTTGTTTTTAGTTTTATTATAATAATACACACAAATTTTGTTATATTATAGGGTTTTATATATTTATTTAAGTAACACACAGTTATTGTTAACGGAGATATACAATATGTATTCTGCAAGGAGTTGTATGTGGATTTGTAATTCAGAAACTTTCATTTAAAAAATGAAAGTTCTTCTTTAAAAAAATGTTTGACAATATTAATGTCTTTAATTTCATCGATTAACAGATAACATGACACTGACATTTCTCTTCTTTTTAGGATCCCAGAAGCAAGCATAAATTCAAAATCCACACGTATGGGAGCCCAACATTTTGTGACCATTGTGGTTCATTACTTTATGGACTACTGCACCAAGGGATGAAATGTGACAGTAAGATATTTATTTCATGTAGTGTTAAGAGATTTTTTTATTTAAAAAATCAATGAAGCCATTAGAACTGTGCCTAACTACTTTCCTGTAAAATTTATTGTAGTTCCTGTTAATTACAAATGCAGCAGTCCATTTGAAATGAATATTTCAGCACATCTAGCAAAAGACTGTAAATGAGGAGAGCTTTTTCTCATGTTGATTTTTCAGTAGCCATATATTAATGGAAACTTACTGGAAGAAAGAAGCATTATATTCAATCAGCAGTTGACCTGCAATATTATAATAAAAGCCCAAGCATTAAAAAAATTAAGGGCAGTTTGTGGCTTCATAATAAATGCTTCATAGTGCTTGTTCACTATCCTTTTGGGGTTTTTGGTTGATTCACCCTTGTAAATTGCCACCACTAGAACCCACTTTGTTCTGGGGAATTGACTTTCCCATAACTAAAGCATTAGGGCCATTTCCAAAAACTGTGTGATATTTTGGCTATTTCCATATGATTTCCACTGGAGCAACCCAGTGGAACTGGCAACAAAAGCTAGCGCACCCAAGTATCATACAATAATAGACCCACGAGTGAGTTCTTTTGCTATGTCATTCCCATAAGGGAATTAGCTGAAGTATGGAAAACTAGAAGAATGTAGATGAGCATAAATACCCAATGCTATGAAAGCCAGGACTCTCACACCGGGGTGTCTGAACTTACTGATCCCATTACAATTTTATCAAAAGGTTCTTCTTTAAATAAAAAAAGTCAAAATTAATTTATGCTGCTTCAAGTAGAAGGAGAGAAGTTGAAACAATAGAGTGGGGACAGTGCCTCACAAACAATTTCACAGCAGAACCTAAGGCAGTTTGTCAAATTCTAAGTATAAGGTAACCTGCTACTAGGACTGCAACGGTAGCTGCAACAAAGAGATGAATAAAAACAGCTGTTGTCAGAAAGTACACAAACTGCTGTTTCTCCTCATGTGGTTTGAATAGAACTCCTCTTCAATAGCTGTAAAAATAGCAAGCTGTCACCTATGACTAATTAAATGGCTTGGAAGCTATTTTGGGGGTTCCTTAGAAACCTGCTCCTGTGGAGTCCTTGGTGCTCTCTGAGCTTGGTTGTTTGCTTGCAGATATTTCATTACCCAGCTAATAACCACATTAGTGCAAGCAAATATAGGCTTTGCTTTCTGTTTGTATACAGTAATCTGCCCTGCCAGTGTCGATGTGGGTGTGGTCTTCTCCCTGACAGTTCCTTGATTGGGTATTGTTAATATTCCATCACTTCCCCACTGCAGTCCACTCCACACTACAATTCCCCACTACGTTGCAAATATACACTGCTCAAAAAAAAAAAAGGAACCCAAAAATAAGACATCCTAGATCTGAATGAATGAAATATTCTTATTAAATACTTTGTTCCTTACATAGTTGAATGTGCTGACAACAAAATCACACAAAAATTATCAATGGAAATCAAATTTAGTAAACCATGGAGGTCTGGATTTGGAGTTACACTCAAAATTAAAGTGGAAAAAAACACTATAGGCCGATCCAACTTTGAAGTAATGTCCTTAAAACAAGTCAAAATGAGGTTCAGTAGTGTGTGTGGCCTCCTCGTGCCTGTATGATCTCCCTACAACACCTGGGCATGCTCCTGATGAGGTGGCAGATGGTCTTCTGAGGGATCTCCTCCCACACCTGGACTAAAGCATCCCCCAACTCCTGGACAGTGTGGTGCAACGTGGTATTGGTGGATGGAGTGAGACATGAATGTCCCAGATGTGCTCAGTTGGATTCAGGCCTGGGGAACGGGCGGGCCAGTCCATAGCATCAATGCCTTCATCTTGCAGGAACTGCTGACACACTCCAGCCACATGAGGTCTACCATTGTCGTGCATTAGGAGGAACCCAGGGCCAACCGCAGCAGCATATGGTCTCACAAAGGGTCTGAGGATCTCATCTTAGTAACTAATGGCAGTCAGGCTACCTCTGGCGAGCACATGGAGGGCTGTGCGGCCCCCTAAAGAAATGCCACCCCACACCATTACTGACCCACTGCCAAACTGGTCATGCTGGAGGATGTTGCAGGCAGCAGAACATTCTCCACGGCGTCTCCAGACCCTGTCACGTCTCTCACATGTGCTCAGTGTGAACCTGCTTTCATCTGTGAAGAACACAGGGTGCCAGTGGTGAATTTGCCAATCTTGGTGTTCTCTGGCAAATGGCAAACGTCCTGCGTGGTGTTGGGCTGTAAGCACAACCCCCACCAGTGGATGTCGGGCCCTCATACCACCCTTGTGGAGTCTGTTTTTGACCATTTGAGCAACCACATGCACATTTGTGGCCTGCTGGAGGTCATTTTGCAGGGCTCTGGCAGTGCTCCTCCTGTCCCTCCTTGCACAAAGGTGGAGGTAGCGGTCCTGATGCTGGGTTGCCCTCCTACGGCCTCCTCCACGTCTCCTGGTGTACTGGCCTATCTCCTGGTAGTGCCTCCATGCTCTGGACACTACACTGACAGACACAGCAAACCTTCTTGCCACAGCTCGCATTGATGTGCCATTCTGGAGCTGCACTACCTGAGCCACTTGTGTTGGTTGTAGACTCCGTCTCATGCTACCACTAGAGTGAAAGCACCGCCAGCATTCAAAAGTGACCAAACCATCAGCCAGAAAGCATAGGAACTGAGAAGTGGTCTGTGGTCACCGCCTGCAGAACCACTCCTTTATTGGGGATGTCTTGCTAACTGCCTATGCTTTCCACCTATTGTCTATTCCATTTGCACAACAGCATGTGAAATTGATTGTTAATCAGTGTTGCTACCTAAGTGGACAGTTTGATTTCATAGAAGTGTGATTGACTTGGAGTTACATTGTGTTGTTTAAGTGTTCCCTTTATTTTTTTGAGCAGTGTGTTATCAATTCTCTACTATAGTACTTCCAGAAAATCAAAGACCTAAAAATTGAAGAATCCATCGCAGCAGTACTGCACAACTCACTTGACCTAGCTAAAATACCTAGAATCATGGATCCATCAACCTCTGCCTCACTACCAACATGCAGTTTGATTGACAGATATATGAACAAATCAGAAGAACATCCATAGGATCACCACTCTTAGGACTTATAGAAGAGACTGTAATGCAGCAGTATGTGGAAACACACAGCACTCCCACACAAACAGCCAAAAATATGGATCTGATATGTAAATGACACTTTTGTCATCATAAAAAAGAAACACAAGAAACAATCAACAACCTCTTCCAAGGAATAAAATTCAACAGAGAAGAAGAAAGCAACATGATGCTTTTCTTTCTGGAGATCTTCATCAACAGAGGAAACAACTGCAAGATATTAGAAACACAAGTTCAAAAACAACCCACACTAAACAAGGCTCTCAACAAGAGGAGCTGTGTAAAAGAACATTATTCAAATGAGCACAAACTGCAGCAACCCAGAAAAAGGAAATGGATCACCTATATACAACATCTTCCAATAAAATGGATACCCATGTAACTATCAAAAAGTGTCCGACTGTTCAACCCACAACAACACTACCCAAACAAGATATAAAAAGGATAACACTGACCATACACAAAAAAATCTCAGAAACAACCAACAGACTATTACAACCACATGACATCACTGTAGCATACAAACCAATTAAAGCCATCAAAAACATCTTCAGTAAACCAAAAGATCCAGTAGCCTAAGAAGAAAAAAACATAGTCATTTACAACATAGAGTGTAAAGAAGATAGGACAAAAAGGTAGAAGATTAGCAGAATGCATCTATGGACACCAACTAGCAGTCAAAAGGCATGTTGAAAACTCCATCTCACAACAGATGGACAGACGGAGCCACTGTTTCAACTGGGAAATTATGAGCATGCTAAACCAAGTCAAATCAATAAATGCTAGGGAATTCCTGGAAACTTGGCATAAATCAGCCATAAATAGATGCATAGAAATAAATCATATTTACACACCATTCAAAAGAGACAACAAAAAGTTACAATGAAACAGAAAAGAATAGAAGTCATCTATTCAGTGCCCAGTATCCAGATAAGCAAGGATTAACAGCAGGCAAACAATCAAGCAGAAAACAATATCCTAATCACAAAACTACCAAAGAGAAAACTACACTCCCACCAATGGTGGGATTCATATTTTTTTTACTACCGGTTCTGTGGGTGTGGCTTGGTGGGCGTGGCATGGTAAGGATACTGTAAAATCTCCAGTCAGAGGAGGCATTTGCCGGTTCCCCAAACTACTCAAAATTTCCACTACCGGCTCTCTCAGAACTTGCTGAATACCACCTCTGATTCCCACCAATTCTGGCAGGGCAAGGAATTGTATATAAACAAGGAGTAAAAACCATGCTCTAGCACTGATGTTATTTAGTTAGATAATGAAACATCTGCAGGCAAACAACCAAGCTCAGACAGCACCAAAAACTCTATAGTTCAACCTGGAGTTACATATAATCTCTTCTGTTCAAACTCAAAACTAGTAATAAGAAATTGTTTAAATCATTTAAGGTAGAAAATAAATGAAAATATTTTAATTTATTTCATCCAGCAAAGCTACCTCTTTCTATCTGGATTTTTTTTTTAAACAATACAATATGATGCTACAGTTCAGGCTACCTTTCTTCTTGAATATTTGCATGTTGTGGAGAACCCTATATTAAAAAGGATTAATGTCCATTGTTGCTTGGTCTATAGTTTCGGTAGGATTGAGGGTTTTTTTTAGTTTGCTTAGTATTGCATCTATATTCTGTCTTCCCTCTTAAGAACACAAGGTACATCCATGGTAGCCCTCCCTTATTCTATCACCAGAGCATCAAGCCTAAGAAACTGGTTGAGCTAAGAGTGAATGGGTTGAAAGTCAGTGAGCTTCATTGCTGAGAGGGGAGTTGGAACTTGGATTTCTGTGGTTGAAGCCCAGCATTTTAATCACTGTGTTACACTGATTTTCACTTGTTCAACTCCCCACATTCCCATGGCTCAGTGATTGGCTTTGAAAAATCAGGCGTTCTTAAGGCTTCATTTCTTATAAAAGAAAGACAAAGAAGTCTTTCAGTTTTTCTGCCTTTCAACATATGTTGCTGTTTTCCACTCTTAGATATGAGAATCTTGCATAACTAGGTTTACCTCTAGAATTAAAACTGTGTCTATAATTTCTGAAGGGATTCTAATGTCAGGGTATAAAGATACATTTTTCCATAATATGGAAGAGCTAAAAATTAGGTGTCTCAATTCTTACAACATTTTGATTCAGCTGTTTTATTGTCAAATAAAGCATATGTCAAGACTTCGATTAAAAATAGTTATGGTCATTTATTTACCCAATCAGATTTTTAAAAAATCAATCCAGAAAACATTTTTGTGTTTCCTAGGAAATAGCTAAAACATATAATTCTTTTGCTGATATAGAGCAGCTTTCCTGATGAGGCATAATCTAGATTTTATTACTGGAACAACTATGTATGCATTAATGGATGCTCAAAAACAAAAGCATTGAAATAGTCATCGATAGTTGTACAATGTTTTTTTAAAAACTGGAATTTAATGATTGGCCAGTGGTCAATTCTGAAAAAGAGATCTTATCTTATTGAGTATGTTTTTATTTTCTTTTTGCTTTCTATAAAATGTTTCCCCACATTTTCCTCCTTATTTTCAACTAAAAGCCACCCATATAGTTTTTAATGTCTAAACTGGCATCACTAACATTTGTCTCAAAACATTTGCTATGTCGGGGAATCATTGACTCTGGCCAAATTTGTCAGTGTATGATTTGTGTAAAAGCAGTTTGCAAGACTGCAGCAGAAATGGCTGTAATTTAACTCAAAATCATTTTCTTCAAGATTTGTTTTTGTCTTATTTTGTTCTGACCTGTGACGGAGAAGATACTTGCTTTCATTCATGAGAAGATGCTGCAAACACACTTCTTACCTTATGTACTGAATGTGGAAAGATTTTTTTTTTTTTGAGCGGACTATAAATTGACAGGTTTTCCTTAATAGCCCAAAGGAAAGATCAACTTCCCAGGCAATGTGAAACTGGTAGTGCCAATTAGTTATGTCCGTCCTTTTCACTCCTTAGGATGTTAAATTATTTATTTTCTGGCTTTCAGCTTGTGATATGAATGTTCACAAACAATGTGTAATAAATGTTCCAAGTCTTTGTGGAATGGATCACACAGAAAAAAGAGGGAGGATTTATTTGAAAGTTGAAGTGACTGGTGACAAGCTGGAAGTCACAGGTAAGGAAAGCTTCTTAGATGTAATGTATCTCACTTTAGGATGCTTTTATTCATTTACAGTATATTGAATAGCTTTAAGGCAATAAGCATTAAAAATGCCTTATGTAGTATATTCAGTAAAACTTCAGCTCCTGGCTGGAACAAAGGATTATGAATTCCTTTGAACTGAAGGATGTAACAGGCTTCTTACTATCCATATAAGAACGCATCCAGCATCCATGGCTGGAAAGTGAGGATGGAAAATGACACGGTGTGCCCATATTCTGCTTTGGGGCTTCCAGCCAGGAACCGAATGTCCTCTTAGCCTAATTCAGCATGGTGTTTCTTGGTAATGCAGTCATACTAAGGAAAAAAATCTCTTGAAATAATAATTGATTACAAACTGAATAGAAGTCAGCAATGTGATGTAGCTGCAAAATAGGCAAATGACTGTGGAGGTGGTTAGATTAGGAGAAGATCTCACTTCCATCTTGTTTACACACTGATTCCTTTTCGTCTAGTTCTTGGTCAATTGTAATGTTTTAATTCTTAATGTTTAATGCTTTTAATGTTCTTATTCTTTTTTTATCACACTTTGATACTGTTATAAGCTGCCCAAAGTCATTTGACAGTGAGATGGGCGGCATATCAATTAAAGAAATAAGTAAATAAACATATTGAGAGAATGGCATTGTGGATGATCAGGCAACTAGAGCCTAAATCTTAAGAGGCAAATGTGAAGGAAGTTGGTATTTTAGCTTTGGGGTGTGTGATAACTTACTTCAAGTGTCAAATATCATAGAAAGATACATCAAAATCACTCTTTTATTTTTTCAGGGTGCAGAAAATAAACACTGTATTTAGGTTGTGCTAAAATTGAAGGCTAGGACTTCTGGTGGCAAGGCAAGGACGAACAGAGGTGCAGAAGCCCATCTGTGGTTTCAGTTAATCTCTTTTTGTGGTTGGTGCGATCCTTTGAGGGTGCACGAGTCCCGGACAGATTCGTGCTGGCGTGGGGGAGACTCGGGTTGCAGTGTGGGGAAGGCAACCCCCCTGCAGCGAAGAGGACCCCTCCAGAGCCCAACGAGCAAGAAACAGCCTCCTATCAATGGTGGCTCCGAAGTTCGGACTACCACCGATGTAAAGAAGTGAGTGAGTGACAGGTTGTGAGATCATTGGGGAAGAGTGTGGCAGAGAAAATTAGCAAGGAGGATTGGAATGCCATAGACTTTTATAAGGCTGTTACAAGTGTCTGTCTGGAGCCCAAAAAGAAAGCGGCCAAAAAGCAGATGCGAGGCAAGTGAAAGTGAAAGGGCTTGGCAGACAGAAGAGAGAGAGAGGACAATAACGAGTAAAAAGGGAAATTTATGAGGTTGGGATACTAGCGGCTGGAAGGTGCCTGGAAGTTGTGGAGGATTTGGACTATCTCATTTGATTTTTATTCTGAAAGATTTTATTAAAGCGGAGAATGGAAGAAGATTGGAGCTGATGGAACAGAGACAGTGTGGCTCCACAGGTGATATTTAGAAACCCTGAAGCCATCGTAACAATATAACTGATATAAACCACTTAACAGCCCTTTAGGGAGCATATTGATCTAATGGAGGAGGTGGTTCCATTTGAAGAAAATCAGGAAAATTGAACTTAGGAACGCTAAGACAAAAAGTAAAAGTGGAAGCTTCTGAATGTGTGGAGATACCATGTAATTGCAGTCACTACTCAGCATTTTTTACCTCCCCACTTCCGGTGCGTTTGGAGTGAAAGCTCTCAAACTTAGAGACGGAAAGCTAAAAACTTACTTCAAAATTCCTTTCCCCCCTTTTTTACTGTCTTTTTTCTGTATACATTTGCTCAATTTTTTTTCCTTCTTTTTCCCTCATCATCTGGCGCTATGATGAACTATCTCTCCTTCTTTACTCTCTCTTTATAATGATTATAAATATGCATACTGAGGAAAGGAAAATTGATTGTTGTAACTGATTGTTAAATAATTGAATTAATTGATTTAATTGATTTATTAATAATAGTGATAGTTATACTTTGATTAGATATATAGGGAAAATAGTAAGAACATTAAGTATTATTTAATTAATAAGAGGATTTTATGTATTAATATTATAATTTATTGTGTGATCACAATTAATCCACTTGGGAACAAATTTGTGTTTAAGAATATTTAAAATAATGTTAGATAAATACACATATTTATTTATAATATTTAAATATAGTTGGATTTGGATAATATATATATATATATATATATATATATATATAGGTTCTCATGGGTATTAGTATGTGGATCTTCGGTTATTCGGGTTTTCTCCTGCGTAAGATTGGAAGTATCTAGGCAACGTTTCAATGAAGTCTCATTCATCATCTTCAGGCTTGTGTCTTCAGCTCTGTGCTTCTCAGAGTGATGTGAGCTTGCAGCTGCTTCTTCCTTTTAACTACTAGTGGGGGTGTGACTTGATTGGGTGGGGGTTCGGCTGTGTTCTGATTGGTTGGGGGGTTGGCCATGTTCTGATTGGCTGGAGGCATGTTCGGTTCAGGTGGGGACTTGGTTGTGCTCAGGTTAGTCTTAGTTGCTGGCGGATTTGAGCTGGTGAGCTGTGATCCTGCTGTTTGGCTTCGAGTTCGTGGTCGTACCGAACTACCAGAACTATCACCAAAACCGAACACTTCAACAGCAGAATAATCAGAGAAGCCATAGTGATAGAAAAACGCCCACCCAGCATGAATAAACGAGATGACACCTCCCGCCTACCAGCCATTTGGAAACCCGCCCTCATGAACAGACGAGTACCTAACATGAAAAATGACACCAGACCCACACCCATGAGGGCCACACAAGATGCCACCACCACACTTCCACGCAGAAAGCAGACTCACACCCACACAGAAGATGAGACATGACCATGGACCAGAAGCCGCACTGCAGCTGCATCACTACCCACTTCAAACCCCTCTGAGCCATACATGAAGCAAACTGACACCCACCATGAAGATGCAGCACGACCACGTTGCCTAGATACTTCCAACCCGAATAACCAAAGATCTATATATATATATATATATATATAGATATATTTATATATAGAATTACATGAAGTTATGTATAGAGGTTGAGCATAGACCTTACATAATTATATATGTGATTTAGAATTTGGATTTAAAATAATACAGTGATAATATTTTTATATATAAGTACTCCAGTAACCAGTTAAGAGCACAGCTATCCAGCAGATAGATAGATTGTAATTAGATACCGGTCAATCCTAATACAGAGATTCTATCACTGAATGTTAATTTGGGATAATATAATTAGTATAGTACAACAACAGAAACAAATCTTAAAAGAAATGACTTCCACAACTACTACAGCTCTGAAAACTAGAAGAAAGGTCACCCCGACATTAACAACTATGAAGAGCAAGGGAGGGCTAGCACTTCCAAATTGGGAGTTGTATTATAGTGCAGCCTCTTTAGTATGGTTGAAGGAATGGGTGAATTTAACCAATAAGAGAATATTATTCTTAGAAGGCCATGACTTGCAAAGGGGGTGGCATGCTTTTTTACGGGATGTAGGGAAAACTAGCCAGAAATATTTTCACAGACACCTAATCAGAGACTCATTATTGACTAATTGGAAGAAAATATGGAAAAAACACTATTTAAAAATACCAATTTGGATTTCAACAATGGAGGCAATGATTCACCCAAATAATCTGGATATCACTAAAATGATTAAATATAAGGATCTATTGGATACACAAGGAAATTTGAAATCGCGGCAAGAACTTCAAGAGCGGGGACTAAAAATTGATCAGTGGGCATATCTTCAAATTCAAAGTAGATATAAACAGGACAAGAAAGAATTTGGAATTAACAATAAACTCCAGCAATTAGATAAAATTTTATTAGGATCAGGCAAAAAAAATATAACAAAATTTTATAATTATTTATTAGAAGTAGAATTAGAAGAAGAAATTGTAAAAGGGAAGATGAGAATGTTTTTAATTGTTTTCTGTTTTTTTCTTTCTATTTTCTTCTCCCATTCTTCTTTTTCTCTCTTTCATTTATGTATGTGTTGTTGGTTTGTTTTAATTGTAAAATCAATAAAATTTATTTTTTAAAAAATTGAAGGCTAGGAAATAGCTTCCCAACAGTAACATGAGTTTTGACTGTGGAATTAATTTACCAGAAAAGCTGATGGGCCATCCTTTATTGAATGTAACAACTGGAAGTAGACCTCCATCTGTTAGGAATGCTTTTGCTTGGGTGACTATACTGAGCGAAGAATGTTATAATTCTACCTTTATCAGAAACTACAAAAATAGAAAATGAAACAAGAAAGCTAGATGTTTTATTTTCTTTGTTATCTTTAAATACTTTTTAAATAGATACAGTTGAATCATGACAAAATGCAGACAGCTCAATCCTACGGCTTAAGGTAGCTTGGTTTCCTTTCAACTTCAGTGATCCCTCTGAAGTAGCAGCCCATGAAAATGAAAGCTAAGCTTTCTGCAGATTTTTTTTTTTCAAATTAGGAAAGGCAAAGTAATTTTAAGTCTATTTTTATTTGTAGGCTAGTGGCAATATAATTGACACTAAATTTAGTAGGCCACTATCTGTAATATTTCTAGCATTTTCTGTGACAAGGTTATGCTGATGGCAAACGTTTTCGCAAGAATGAAAACAAAAACCTCTTCCTTTTAGTGTGTGTATGATACAGTTGGCTGATTTAATTCATGTCCAACGTAGTAGTTCTTGGTGTGACAATGAAATGTCGATCTGTAGTCCTTCTCTTCACTTGTCTGCTGCTTCCCGCATCCTAGGAAAACTTGTGTTGTACTGTTCCCTAATATAAGACTTATATAATCTGTTTCTTCATTCAATCAGTCTTCATGAGTATTACAGGTAGTCCTCAATTTACAAACAAAACTGAGCCCAAAATTTCTGTTGCTGAATGAGCTCATTTGCTAAGTAAGTTTTGCCCCGTTTTATGATCTTTCTTGCCACAG